CACTCCCTGGTGCTCTCCCCCAGGAGCCGCATGTTCGGCTGCCTGCCGTGCGTGCGCTACCCGCTGTGCCTCATCCACGCGCTGGGCCGCCTGGAGCGCCGCTGCCGCTGCTGCTACCTGCTGCTGCTGGCCGCGCTGCTAGGAGCGGAGATGCTCAGCCTGCTCCTCATCTTCCTCCCCATCGTCCTGCTGGTGCTGCTCTTCCTCATCCTCGACAAGTAGCCAGGTTCCCAGGACCAGGATGCTGCATGGGGGTGACTGGTCTGAGATCTGGGCCGTGAAGCCCAGGGAGCTTCTGCACTGTCAATGAGCCCGGAGCGAGGTGAGGCAGCGCAGGGGGCAGGGAGGACTTGGGCTGCCCATGGGGCCTGCAGTGGCAGCATTGGCAGCCCCTGCAGGGAGGGCGTCGCTCTGACTGGGCACCTCAGACCCATGGCGGGTGCATGGCAGGATGGACAGTGCTGCTGCGGGTGACAGCAGTGCCCGGGAAGTGCCCCGGCCCCATTTGCTTGGGTGCGGAGCTGTGGTCCTGCATGGGAAGAGAGGGGGCCCTGCCTGCCCCTTGCCACCCCAAATACTCCAGCTCTCCCTTGCAGATTGCAAATTTAAATCACATTTATTCTGCAGCAGCATGTGGCTGAGTTCATGCCATGCCGACTGGCACCAGTGCCGGGTGCCTCCAGCGCCGTGTCCCCACACCCAGCCCTGCTGAATGTTCCCACTGGAGCCTCCCTGGCCGTGAGCACCAGGCCCTGCTCTCCGCCTGCTTCCCACCATGGCGAGCTGCCGGGGAGCTCAGACCGTTGCCTGCTCAGTGGCCCTGGGTTGCAGCCTGCTCCTGTTGGCCTCGTGACACCAGGGCACATCAAGCTCTTGCTCTGCGCTACAGGCTTTGCTCTCCCAGTCGGGGCCCAGCAGCACCCGTGCTCTGTGCCCAGGGGCACCAGATCGCCACGGCACCGCTCTTGTCCTTCACTCACAGCTGCGACACGAGACGGGGACGGTGCTGGCAGTGGCACCTGGGCTTGTGCAGTCTCTGAGTGGTACCAATCTGTGCCAGCACCTCGCACACCTCTGCTTTCCTTTCCCCGCCAATAGATAAGCGAGCAAATACTGCTCTGCTGCCCAGGGATTTGCCACAGCAGCTCCGAGTGGTACAGGCCCCCGGAGCCCAGAATGTGCCCAAAACTGCCTGGGCAAGGGCAGGAGGGTTGGGGCCAACTGCACCCCCGGGCCCAGGGCTATGCCTTGAGCACTGGGCTGGACTCCCACAGCCCCCAGCTCCACGGCTGCAGCGCGGGGGAACCCAGAGCAAGCTCTCCCCAAGAAACAAACCCCCCCAGCAAGCCACTGCAATAAGGAGGGGGTTGGGAGCGACTGATGGCCACATCCCAGTGCCCGGCACTGGTCCTGGCCGATGCCCGGGCCATGGCTCCCGCTGCGCTCTTGCTCCCCACGTACTGGGCAGCCTGGGGCTGTGCATTTGCTGCGGGAACTGCAGGGCAGTTCAGCAGCCCAGCATGCCCATGCGGCCTCGGGCTCGGCTTCTGCACTGGCACCTCTTCCCTCTCATACAGCCAAGGCTCCTGCACAAGCCCCGCATTGCTCCCCATGCCCCTTCCTTGTCTCCAGCAGCCCCAGGGTGCCCATCCTGGCAGGCATCCCTGTGCTTCCCGATGTGCTGATCCGGGCTGGGTGTGTGCATGGCCAGCGAGCACTGTGTGAGGATGTGGGGCACATGATGGAGCTTGGGGTGAGCGATATGGGTGCTCCTGCCCCGCTCCCCAGCCCTATCCCATGCTCATTCCAGCTGGCAGACAGTGCTGCAGGGAGTAAATGGACCTGGTCCCACAGGGGCAGAGATCTGGGCAAAGCGCACTGCGCTGAAGAGACACTGAACACTCCTGTGTGTCCGCAACACACGTCTTCGGATCACCTTCAACAGTGGGGAATGGCAGATTTTTCTTCTCCCAAGAGGACCCTGTGCAGAAGACAAGGCAGCAGTGAGGGATGGATGGAGGCGCCAGCGCCAGAGCAGCTGGTGGAGGAGCCCTGGGGAGGCAGCGGGCGGGAGCAGGGCCCCCTAAACTGGGTCAGGCAGAGCCCCCCCCCGCTGCTCCCTCC